CTCCCTCCTTTATGCCTGATGGGTCATGGAATGATGGACATCTGATCTCTAGCCTCACTGATGGGTTGCCTGAAGATCAGCCTACAGATAAGCCACCTGTCTGAATCCTTTTGGCGTGTTGGGATGGCACATATTATAGTAAGTTGCATCACTTTAAACCCTAGAGGTCTCTCTTCCCAGAGTTTTCCATACAGGACATCTAATTCTACCCACAAGGGGCCAAAGCAAGTGGAAGCAGAAAGGGAGTATTTGACACCTAGGGGTCACAAGGAAGAGCTGGGAAGACAGGACAAGGGACTTGGCACACGCAGTAACCAGCACGGTCTTAGACCCGGCATATCTTTCCCCCCACAAAACCACAAACTAGCAGCATTCATTTTCAGACTTCAACTCCTTCCTCCCTTGATTCCTCTCACCCTCAGTCTGCTCTCCCTGGCTGGGAGCCTTCCTTCAGTTCCCTGCCTTCTTCCTATCCTGACCTGGTGGTCTATAAGCATAATGCATCTGAGAAAATTCTTGAAAAATGGCCATAAAATCCCCTGGGTCTGTGACTAAAGTTTCATGCTTTCATGGTGACGACCTGGGTTATATTCCTGGAAAGAATGCATCTAGCAGAACCCACTACCTCACTCCAAGGTACTCAGTAAACATGGACACTAAGTAAAGGCAGTGTGCTTGCTGTGCAAGTGTGGCTTCAGCCAGACTGCTGCTCCTGTCTCGCTCCTGTCCCGCAAGTCTGGGGCTGCCACTCGAGCCCAGTGCCATGTGCCAGCTGGAGAAGCAGGGATCACACTGCCCTTCACAGAAGTCTCTGTAGCCTAGAAAGTAAAAACAGCAGCTGCCTGACACTTCCTTTGAGAAGCAGATGAAATATCAGGTGTTCTTCTTCCCGTAAACATAAACACAAAATTTTGCAAATAATTTCAGGAGACTCAGGGAGGCCAAGATGAGCTCCCCTGTGCTAATGGGGAAGGACCGGGGAGGAGCGGCATCGGGGTTTTAAAATATCTGAGCTCAGGTGGGCCACGCGTGAAAATAAGAAACAGTTTGTTTTTCATTTTCTCCTCCTTCTTCCATTGGCTCCCTTTTCTCTCCCTTCTTAAGAATAAATCCTTCATCCTAGTCTTCTTCTTTACCTGGATGTAATCAGATGCTGTTGAGGCTGAAGGGTGGCACTTCCAGACAAAACACAGTCAGTTCTGCTAAAATGTAACATCCACATTTCTAAAACTCACTCCACTGTGTAAAATCATGCAGTAACAACCACAGAGCTTACAGGGAAGGGAGATTAGAGGCATAACACCAACATTTTGTCAGTGACATAAAAAAGATGATAGGAACCAAATACAAAAGACAGCAGTTTTGCACAAGTGAAATGGTGAAGAAATGCGCAAATACTACAATAAATACAGCATGTTACCTAGAAAAAGACCTGAAGTTTGTTTGTGGAGGTGTGTAAGAAGGGTTCCCAGGGTGGAAAATCGTTTCAGCCCCAGATGTGGACGGGGCTGGGGGTGGGGATCATCACACATGGGGTGCACTGAGGCAGCTGGTGGGTGTTTGAGGCGTGTGTGCATCGTGTGTGTTCCTGTAAGGCTCGGTTCAGCTGGAAGCAGTTTTCTGCGTTTACTTAGCATTTCTTGAGGACA